CTGTACAGGGCTAGTCCAACATTACCTTGCAGTGGGAGGCAGTATTTGCAATGTTTAAGAGGGAGCAAGACAGCAGGAGCTGGAGTCCTAGTCAGCCACCTACCTGCTGTGTGGTCTTAATCAAAGCAATTCAACTCTCTGAACCTTGTTTTCACATTTATAAAGGGGGATAACACCAGAACCAACTTCACATGGTTGTTGTGGGGACTACATAAGGTCATACATTTCAGGTCTTTAGCGCTGTCCCTAGCACATGTGTATTTTGTATTTTAATTATTGATTCCACCATCTCCCCACTCACATATACCCTTAACCCCTAATCCTGACTTGCACATCTTTCTTTGACTTTAATTGCAAATCACCATCAATTGAAGATGTCCTTGGGGTCCCAAGAAGCCCTTCCTTGCCCTCAACACCCTCACCCCATTCTCTCTACCAAACTCACTGGCAGCCAGTACCCCAGGGAAATCTCAAACATGAAAGGCCCAGACCACCACCACCTCCTGAAAGTGATCAAAGCCATCTTCCTAATTTCCTTAAATGCAGTGTTGAGAGTAGTGAGTGGCTTAAAGCCAGGGATTCGGTTATGCTAATTACACCCTTGAAGAGCCCAGCGCTGAAGTCTCATAGCTTGAAAAGAATTCTGGCAGCTGGGTTCACTTGGAAAAGAAAGGAAATGTGGAATCTAAGAGTGGCAGGAAGTGGGATGGTGGGCGGATTCAAGAAAAAGGAAGTTTTTGAAAGTTGAAAAAATAAAGGAAATTCATTCACATTAAAACAACAAAAGGATATCCTTTCACCAATCAGATGAGCAAAAACAAAACACTGGATATTGCCCAGCCTTGACAAGGCAAAGAGTAACAGGAGCTTAAACTCACCAAAATGACAAGGCATAGCTTTTTCCAAGGCAATGGCAGATTCCATAAAACTTCAAAACTTGCATAAACTTCTACCCTCTCAACTCTATTTCTAGGACCCATCTTTCCTACAGACATACATGTGCACAAATATATATGGAGAAGGGTGTGCTTGAAACAGACACAAAATAGATGGAAACAATTAAATGCCCATTAACAAAGGAATGGATAATATGCTGTTGAAATATTAAATATATCTCTTTTTAAAAATGAAGATTTCCTTGTGTGCACAAGACCCATTTATAATATAAGTATTATTAAAAAGAAAGGAAATGGTCTTGGGGGAAAAAAAGTCAGAATCATAAATCTTGAAAGTAAACTTTAGACCTTTAATACATTTTGTTAGACATGAGTTCTAAATTTCTTTTCAAAGAATCAGTATGTCGTATGTTCAATTCTTTGCCTTCTACTTTTAAACTTAACTTCCTCATAAAGCAACCTTTTCCGATTACCTGCTCCACCCTGACTCATTCTGATTACCTGCTACCTGCTCTGCCCTGACTCATTCTCCACCCTGCATAACCATTTTTCCTGCCAAACCACTCATGCCATCGCTCTCTTTAAATTAGCCAATCGGAATTAGTTTAGCCTGTGCTGTCTAACCCTAGCCAACAGGGGAAAGACACAGCAGCAGGGGCCACATGTGTCAGCAATAAGAACCCTTTTTCCTCCCTTGTCCAAGTGTGCACTCACCATTGCTCCATCTGTAAGGGCGCATCCTTCTATAGAAGTAACTTGCCTTGCTGAGAATTAAAAAGAAAATTTTATATTCGAGTGCTATTTCTTTTGTAGCATCAAAACTTTAATTATAACAATTTCAAGTGGCCCAGGCTTCCAAATGTGTTTCTAATGTAGTTGTTTCCTATACCTCAGGTATCCAGAGAGCAAAGACTATGAGAAATACTGATGTCGCTCAATACTCACCAAAGATGAAAATGAGTTCATTTCCTTAACCGCCTAGTTGAAATGGTATTTAAACTAGGCCCTATTTACTTGCCAGGAACCTATGTTACAGCAGCACCCAGACGCAAAAGGAACATATATTAGCCATAATTCCCTCAAACATCATCAACCATGGTGATGTTACAGGAAAGGGGTCCTGATCCAGACACCAAGAAAGGGTTCTTGGATCTTGCATAACAAGGAATTCAGGGTAAGTCTATAAAGTGAAAGCAAGTTTATCAGGAAAGTAAAGGAACAAAAGAATGGCTAACCCATAAACACAGCAGCCCCGAGGGCTGCTGGTTGCCAGTTTTTATGGTTATTTCTTGATGATATGCTAAACAAGGGGTGGATTATTCATGCCTCCCCTTTTTAGACCACATAAGGTAACTTCCTGAGGTTGCCATGGCATTTGTAAACTGTCATGGCGCTAGTGGGAGTGTAGCAGTGAGGACGACCAGAGGTCACTCTCATCGCCATCTTGGTTTCGGTGGGTTTTGGCCGGCTTCTTTACTGCAAGCTGTTTTATCAGCCAAGTCTTTATGACCTGTATCTTGGGCTGACCTCCTGTCTCATCCTGTGACTGAGAATGCCTAACCATCTGGGAATGCAGCCCAACAGGTTTCAGCCTTATTTTACCCAGGTCCTATTTAAGATGGAGTTATTCTACTTCAAATGTCTCCGACAGTGAGAAGATCTCTGCCAGAGCTGGAACTAAAGAAGAGTGCCAGGAATTGTGTTACTGTCACACACGTCCATGTGGAGAGAGTCCACCAAACAGGCTTTGTATGAGCAACAAGGCTATTTATTTCACCTGGGTGCAGGTGGGCTGAGTCCGAAAAAGGAGTCAGCAAAGGTTGATGGGATTACCATTAGTTCTTACAGGTTTGGGATAGACATACAAAGTACATTCTCAAGGGCGGGGAGAATATTACAAAGCACCTTCTTAAGGGTGGGGGAGAATATTACAAAGTACCTTATTAAGGGCAGGGGAGAATATCAGTTAGGGTGGGGTGGGAACAAATCACAGTGGTGGATTGTCATCACTTAAGACTATTTTCACTTCTTTTGTGGATTTTCAGTTGCTTCAGGCCATCTGGATGCATACCTGCAGGTCACAGAGGATAGATGGCTTAGCTTGGGCTCAGAGGCCTGACATTACCACTTATGCAGCCCATAGCCTGGTGTTCACCAAAGGGGCCAGTCAAAAATTTCTAGCATACTTGAAGCTATTGAAAACCACATATGTGCACAGTATATGCAAGATAAGTATTTATAGTAAATGTATATACCTTCTATTCTGAATAATACACTGTATTTCAGTGATGGTCTATTAAGTATTTAGAAATGACACTGGATACATAAAATGGAAAGTATCCTGAAGAAACAATGGTTATCACAAGGTCTCCCACTTTGTTATCCAGAACAGCTTGTATTTTTTTAGGAATGAAATTTTAAAGACATTGTTCTGTGAGTTCAAGAAATGGTCTTCTCCATACCAGGGTTACGAGCTATTCTGCTTATAAACTACTCTGGCTGTGTCCACTTCTCTTGGATCTTCAGAAACATCTCACAGTTCAATGAAAGATAGTTTATACCCAAAATAAACACACTTGCTATGTTAAAAATAAAAAAAGAAAGTAAATGCAAAACTACACATAGGCAGATGTATATGTGTGCAAATGCATAGAAAAAACCTTCAAGAATACACTCCAAACTGTTAAAAAGCGGGCACCTCTGGAGAGAGAGGAAGTAGAACTTGAACTTCGTAGGCCATTCGCAGTGGTTTACGCCTGTAATCCCAGCACTTTGGGAGGCCGAGGCAGGCGGATCACCTGAGGTTGGGAGTCCAAGATCAGCCTGATCAACATGGAGAAACACCATCTCTACTAAAAAAAAAAATACAAAAAATTAGCCAGGCGTAGTGGCGCATGCCTGTAATCCCAGTTACTTGGGAGGCTGAGGCAGAATCACTTGAATCTGGGAGGCGGCGGTTGCAGTGAGCTGAGATCGCACCATTGCACTCCAACCTGGGCAACAAGAGTGAAACTCTGTCTCAAAAAAAAAACAACAACAATAACAACAGAACTTGAACTTCATATTCTATGCAAGAAAGGAAAAAAATCTAAGAGAGGAAAAAAAATACATGAGGAATATGGTTTCTCAATTTAAAAACCTCCCCCTTCCAACACCATCTTCCATCCCTGTCATTCTTTTTTTTTTTTTTTTTTTTTTTTTTTTTTTTGAGGCAGAGTCTGGCTCTGTCATCCAGGCTGGAGTACAATAACGCAATCTTGGCTCCCTGTAACCTCTGCCTCCCAGATTCAAGCAATTCTCCTGCCTCAGCCTCCCAAGTAGCTGGGATTACAGGCATGCGCCACCACACCCAGCTAATTTTTGTATTTTTAGTAGAAATGGGGTTTTGCCATGTTGACCAGGCTGGTCTTGAACTCCTGACTTCAAGTGATCCACCTGCCTCAGCCTCCCAAAGTGCTGGAATTACAGGTGTGAGCCACCGCACCCGCCCCATCCCTGTCATTCTTAAGAAGAAGATAGATTTATGTCCTAATTTTAACTATTCAGAAAGCTTTTAGATGTATGCCTTGCTTAGGCTTCTCTGGCAACTCCCCAAGCCTGCATCAGCTTAGCATCCAATCCATTAAGGTCTCCCCATGGGGCTGAGGTCCCTGCCACAGGGTGTCCTAAATACAGAGAAAGTCTAGGCAAAATTTACACATGACACAGTTATGGTCTTACACAATCTTTCACCTTTGCCTTTTTGTAAACCTTGATTTATTTTGCTTCCCTTGGCACATTATCTCCCCTTCCAGATATTTTTGCAGTGGATATTGTATTCTTTAAGCCTTTCTTGATTGCGAGTGAGAGAAACTAAATTAGCAAAAGGTGGTATTCATTATAAGCATTCAATGAATGTTTGCTGTTGCTGCTGCCCGGCTGTTGTTAGTGAAGGCAGGATTTGCCTGGGTTTGGGGAACAGCCGGATCCAGGAATTTGTACATTCTCAAGAAATTTCTTAATCTCTATCTGCTGCTTGTCTCTGCTCCTGTTTCAGTGAAGTCCCTTTCACTTGTGAGACTCAAGTCAAACCGAGTTTAGCAAACAAAAGTGGGGAGGAAATACTGCCTCAGATAACTGAAAACCCCAGAGGCTAGCTTCAGAAACTACTTCATATTGACGCTAAAACTATGTAAATTACATAATTACCCAGGAAGCGAGGGCGTCCAGCCAGATCTATCGAACGAAATGAACACAGAGTGGGAAAAGACTCATCCCTGTAAAGGTAAATCTGGGTTTTGTCACCCATAAATGGTAGAAATAACACACACACCTCAGTCGTCTCTCTGTTCTCTTCTTTCTCTCTCCCACTCTCCCTCTCTCATTTTGCCCTCTCTTGCTTGGAAACTGGCTTCTTCTGGCATTCTGATCTTTATGATAGGAAATAATGTCTGCCAAGAGATCCCAAATCCCAAATTAGCCTGACTCTCTCCATTTCAAGCCCAAAAGACTCAGTGAAGGGTCTGGTATCAGTTATCTACTGCTGCACAATGAATTACCCAGAAACGGAAAGGCTTACAACAAGACCATTTATTATCTCACTTCGTGTCTTGCAGGTCAGGAATCCGGGGGCAGCTTAGCTGGGTGAGTATGGCTCAGAGTCTCCCATGCCAGAAATCATCTTCTGAAAAAAAAAAAATAGAATTATGCGACCCCAAACTCACTATGCCAAAGGGAAAGTTAAGCTTGGGAACTGAGCCACCACTACTGTCTTCCTTTTGTTCCCAAACGGACAGCTGTGATTTCACAACCCAAATCATGACCTCATTTCCTCTACTCCCTCTTTTCATGTTTATCTTATGTAAAATGTAGATTTACTGAGAGGGAGATAATACATAATTGACTTTTTCCTCTACTCCCTCTTTTCATGTTTATCTTATGTAAAATGTAGATTTACTGAGAGGGAGATAATACATAATTGACTTTTTCCTCTACTCCCTCTTTTCACATGTACAGTGTTGATTGATTGATTGATTGATTTTTTTGAGACAGAGTCTTGCTCTGTTGCCCAGGCTGTAGTGCAATGGTGCAATCTTGGCCCACTGCAACCTCCACCTCCAAGGTTCAAGCAATTCTCCTGCCTCCGCCTCCTGAGTAGCTGGGATTACAGCTACACACCAGATAAGTTTTGTATTTTTAGTAGAGACGTGGTTTTGCCACGTTGGCCAAGCTGGTCTGGAACCCCTAGCGTCAAGTGATCCAACTGCCTCAGCCTCCCAAAGTGCTGGGATTACAGGCATGAGTCACTGTGCCCCGCCTAAAGTTTAGATTTATTGAGACTAATCAGGGCCCCACAAGAATGTAATCATCTACCTCACTGCATATCTCCCTCGCTTCCTCTCGCTTCCTCCCGTCTCCCACTCCTTGCTCTTTCTCCTTTAAATACCAGAGTGCATACAAAGTCCCCTTTGGAGAAAAGCAGAGATCACAGATGCTCCTGCGATTTCTATTTTTCCTGGCTGCATCCTCAACCTTAGCTAAATAAACCTCTAATGGCCTCAGTCACTTTTTGGTTAACAATTAGAATGCTGTTAACTAGGGCTGGGGAATCCACTTCCAGAAGAAGTCACTTATGTGGCTGGAAAGCTCCTGCTAGTGAAGGCAGATCCTCTCCATGTGGGCCTCTCCACAGGAGGCTGGAGCCTCTGTACAACAAGGCAGTTGGCTTCACCTGAAGGGAGTGATCTGGGAGAGAGAACATTGCCTGAAACCGATTTGGATTGAAAAGAATAAATAAATCAATATTTAAATATTTTTTTAAAAGACAGAAAACATCTGGCAGAAACTATCCCTTTTATGATCAGCCTCAGACATCACATACCATCATTCTATTAATTTAAAGCAAGCCCCTAAGTTCAGCCCACGTTTTGTGAAAGGGAGAGCTTCACTTTTTGAAGGAAGGAGTATCAAAGAACCTGTGAATATGTTACAGGACCCCACCGCTTACCCAAAGTCAGTGGTTTGCTCACTATAGTCCCTTCTGTGGACGCCAGAAATATGTTACAGGAAAGCGGTCCCAGTACAGACCCCAAGAGAGGGTTCTTGGATCTCGTGCAAGAAAGAATTCAGGGTGAGTCTGCAGTGCAAAGTAAAAGCAAAGAAAGTAAAGTGGTGAAAGGACAGCTACTCCATAGACAGAGTAGGACGTTCCTGAAAGCAAGAGGAGGAACACATCCCCGCTAGGTACAATGCTTGTATATATGGGGAGATGTGCTCTAAGAGTTTGTGATAGAGGATTAATTTTCTTAATAACTATATTTTGCAAGAATCTATATTACTATCTTTAAAGCAAAATTAGGAATGCCTATGTTCTCCAGATATCAGGATATCTGGACACTCCCAAGTCTGGGTCTGTTTAGTAAACATTATTAATTTGTTCCCTTAACCGTAAACATCTAGAGGCTCAGAATGCCAAACTTCCTGAGGATGCAGACCAGCAGGTCCCAGCCTCATTTTCCAGCCCTCACTCAAGATGGAGTCACTCTGATTCAAACGCCTCTCACAGATATATTTTCAAACCAACACAGGACTAATTAGTCTTGGTTGGGTCAAGTGTTTTCCTTTAAACCAATCAACTGTGACCAGAGGCAGGGTTATACTATAACAATGGTTACTCCCTCTACAATCTTGCAGATTTAAGTAGAAAAAAAGATTTCTAGAAAGGGGGATGCACAAACAGAGAAAAAGAACTCTTTTCCTCCAGCTCCAGAAAGAAAAATCCCAGAGGAGGATTCTGATGGGCTCAGCTTGCATCATATGCCTCTTCCAAGAGCCATCAATCACTGTGGTCAGGGGCAGGATGTAATGCTGAAATATGAGAATGCAGGGGGATTCCAGGTGGTCACTCATGATCGTCTCCACGGTGTACTTCAACCATGCTACTTAATCTTTTTATGTCTTAGTCTCAGCATCTGCTAAATAGAGATTAGAAAGCCTTGTACATAGAGTTGTTATGACTATTAAATTAGATGATATCTGTGAAGCACAATGTCTAGCTACAAAAAAGCCTATTAAGATTCTCAAGTACTTAAAATTCATCTCAAAATGACATTTTTTATTTTTATTTATTTTTTTTTTGTGATGTCTCGCACTGTCACCCACACTGGAGTACGGTGACACGATCTCGGCTCACTACAACCTCCACCTACCAGGTTCAAGCAATTCTCCTGCCTCAGGCTTCCTAGTAGCTAGGATTACAGGCGCCTGCCACCATGCACAGCTAATTTGTGTGTGTGTGTATTTTTAGTAGAGATGGGGTTTCACCATATTGGCCAGGCTGGTCTCGAACTCCTGACCTTGTGATCTGCCCACCTCAACTTCTCAAAGTGCTGGAATTACACGCGTGAACCACTGCACCTGTCCTATTTTTATTTTTTTTATTTTATTTTTTGAGAAGCGTCTCTCTGTCACCCAGGCTGGAGTACAGTGGCGCAATCGCAGCTCACTACAACCTCTGCCTCCCAGGTTCAAGCCATTCTCCTGCCTCAGTCTCCTGAGTAGCTGGGACTACAGATGCACATTACCACACCCGGCTAATTTTTGTAATTATTATAATTTTTTTTTTTTTTTTTTTGAGACAGAGTCTCGCTGTGTCACCCAGGCTGGAGTGCAGTGGCACGATTTTGGCTCACTGCAACCTCCGCCTCCCGGGTTCAAGCAATTCTCCTGCCTCAGCCTCCTGAGTAGCTGGGATTATAGGCAGGCACTACCATGCCTAATTTTTTATATTTTTAGTAGAGACGGGGTTTCACCATGTTGGCCAGGCTGGTCACAAACTCCTGACCTCAAGTGATTCGCCCGCCTCAGCCTCCTAAAGTGCTGGGATTACGGGTGTGAGCCACCGTGCCTGGTCACAAATTGGCATTTTTTAAAAAGCAATTTATAATTGGAAAGTCTCAGGGCTCACTCTTCATTTCTAATTCTCATAATCCTTACTTTCTCATTGTGGCTGACTTCATCCACAAACAGGCTTTCCTCGGGAGAACAAAATAGCTGCAGTAGCTCCAGGTCTCATGTTTGAAACCCATGCAATCTATGGACACAAATTGTCTTTCTCCCTACTCACAAAGAGTCTTGACATTCACTCACATTGGCTGACTTCAGTCACCCGTCCACTTCTGAATCAATCATTCTGTCCAGGGGAGGGGGGCTGGGGGCAGAGAAATGGAATGCTGATTGGCTTAAACTAATCACAATCCACCCCTGATGACTGAGGATGGAGTCAATCTCCCGGGAGCACAAGGGATACAAGAGAAGGATGATATGAAAATCAGGTCATATAAGGAAAGAGGGTAAGAGAGGGTGGGTGCTGTGGGCCAGAGTCAGCTGACCTGCCAAACCCAGCCTGCTATTGTAAATAAAGTTTTATTGGAACACAGCCACAGTCATTCATCTGTATATTGTCTATAGCTGCTTTTGTGGTACAATAACAGAATTAAATAGTTGCAACAGAGACCACATGGCTGCAAAGCCAAAAATGTTTACTATCGGGGCCTTTACAGAAAAAAGGTTGCAGATCCCTGCATGTAGGCAAACATATAATTTCCACTGCAGTCGTATCCAAACCACATTTTCTTCCCTCCTCCCAGTCCTTCTCTGTTGAGAGACATCACGACAAACCAGCAGAGCAGGCATCTCTCAGCAGAAGAATCCTCCCAGGGTCCATCAACTCCTACCCCATTGCCAATGAGTAAACACACAGCCTGTGGAACATCATCAGGCAGAGGACTGGTTTGAGAAGAGATTTTGTGGCTGCTGGAGCGTACAGGCTCTGTCTCCATTACCCATCACGGAACTTCACCATTCAAAGATCAATGACGTGCAGCCTAGATGATGCTGGCAAGCCAGGGGCTGTGGATCCCGATTTTTCCTCCGTGATAAATGGGGAGCAATCTCCAGGAGCTCTAGCCTGGAAGACAGCCCTAGTTAAATTACTTTATCGCCCAGCTGAGAGATGGCCAGCTTGGAGGAGATGTACTCAAGAAGCATGCTAACTAGACTCAGCATCAGCACACAGACCCCTCCTCAGAGCAGCACACTCCTCCCTCCTCTTTCCCACCAAAGAGCAGAAGAATTCCACCCTGGCATTGGCTTATGGAAACTGCTCTCCCTGACACTTCCATAGTAAATAAGATCAGGGGTCTGTGTAGTTCCCACTCACTTCACATGCACATATCTGAGATCACTGCTTTCAAGCTTGCCAAGTGGCAGAGAACTTGTACATCATGGAGTCCTTGCAGACACTCAAAATGCTGGTATATCATGCTTAAAAGAAACCTCCAGTGCAAAGACTAAGTGCACAGGCATTAGAGATAGGCAGAACAGGATTTAGATCCCAGCTCTGCAACTTACCATGGGCAAGCATCTTGGTTCAGGATCCTTCAGAAACTTACTTTAAGACAAGGGTTTGAGTGTACATAGTTGATTTAGAAAGTGACCTCAGGAAGCACCACAAGGCAGTGGGGAAGAGGAGAAACCAATAAAGGGTGTGTATCAAGGAAGCTATCACTGGAGCTGAATTTTGCTGGAGAACCAATGTTAAACACTGCCTCAATGCTAACTCATCCAAGCAGCAAGGGAGCTGGGGTATTAATACTCCAACTCCCATATGTTATTATTTGAGGG